GTTTTACACAGAGAAGTCTTTACTTTAAGGAGCTTTTGCACACAAACGTCTAGGAGCCTTTACACACAGAAGCTGTTACACGAAGAAGTCGTTACACAGATATATAGCTTTCTTTCACTCACAGACGCGTTTACGCACAGAAGCTTTTACACAGAGAAGCCTTTACACAGAGAGTTTTACACACGGAAGCTTTTACACACAGTGAAATCTTTACACAGACGCGCTTTCACACAGAGATGCTTTCACACACAGAAGCTTTTACACACACGAAGATTATCCATCATAGTGTCCATTAGTTAATGTTTGGGTGATTAGGTGTGAACATGTCAAAACCAGCTTGTATGCTTTGACATCCTCCACCTTGCCATCGAGCCTGCAGGTGCTGATTGGCAATGGCGAAGAGCACTTCGATCACCTTGCCTTCCCTCTTCCAACCACTATGGAACTAGTGTAGGTGGAATACATGGGTAAACTATGCGTATCATCCCTTAATCTTCACTGAAAAAGTCAATAAAGGCCACTTAATATCAAAGGGTCACTTAGATATGACCATATCAAAGGGTCACTTAGCCAATTTGGAGGCAGTAAGTGGCCGCTTCAAATTTCTTGCTCAAGTCCACTAAGTGACCTTCATTTCATTTTTTGCTGGCTTCAAAACCTCCAAATTCCAAGGGTCTAGAGTGGTACCACTGGGACAGGTCTACAATGCCCTAATTATCAGTCTAGACCTCTAGACCCTAGCCCCTCCAGGGGGGGGCCTTCTAGACCTTAAGTAGTTGAGGGTATCATTCAAGGGCATCAAGAAGATGCTGGTATACACAAAGTGGTTTTTACACACAGAAACTTTTACACACAAAAGCTTTTACACAGAGAAGTCTTTGCACAGAGGCGCCTTTACACGAAGTAACCAGTTGAAATTGGCAGCAGTTGTTCGGGACAAACTCTTGGCAGGAGCTTTCGGGAACTCACTTGCTCCCCAAAAAAGCCGTCTATTTCCAACAAAGTTCCTATTCCATGAACTTTTTTCAAAAAACTGAAGCAGGTCCCCATCCAAAAGCTTTCAAGCCCACACTGCGATGAAATGGAGGGTCGAGAAATCCGGCGGAGCCGACGAGGGCCGTCAGCCCTTAAAATAATCCGGCCAGGGGCCCCCTGGCCGTGGCATAGCCGAAGGCGTTTCTCTCCTCTCCGTAGGAGAGAGGGGCCGCCGCCCCTGCCGCCGCCCCGCGCCCGTGTCCTTGCCGGAGGCCTTCGGTGGTAACCGAAGGTTATATACGGCTGCCGCCCCTGCCGCCGACCGGCTCTGCCCGATTCCGGTTCACGGTTGCCCGATTCCGGTTCACGATTATCGTTGTAATTTACAGTGTATTCTGCGTGTGGTGTTCAAAAAACATCGTTTTTTACAGGGTTTTCTGGCCTTCGCCGTCTCCGGGTTTCATCTCGGCGACGTTAAAAAACCATGGGTTTTTCAGGGTTTTGGGTCTTAGGAAGGGGTCCGGAACGGAAAACTGGACATCTTGACGGCCTTGGTGCCAACATAGGGCCAACATCGGCCAAGATGTGGGCTACATGGGTCAACATAAGGCTAAGATAGGGGCAAGCCTGCGCCAACATAGGGCCAACATCGGCCAAGATGTGGGCTACATGGGCCGACATAAGGCCAAGATAGGGACTACATAGGCCAAGATAGGGCCAACATCGGCCAAGATGTGGGCTACCTGACGCCAAGATGTGGGCTACATGGGCCAACCTAGGGCCAAGACAGGGGCAAAACTGCGCCCAAATAGGGCCAACATCGGCCAACAACAACAACACCAACAACAACCACCACAACAACAACAACAACCACCACCACAACCACCACAACCTAGGGCCAAGACAGGGGCAAACCTGCGCCCAAATACAACAACAACAACAACCACAACAACAACAACACCAACAACCTCGGGCCAAGACAGGGGCAAACCTGCGCCCAAATAGGGCCAACATCGGTCAACAACAACAACAACAACAACAACAACAACAACAACAACAACAACAACAACAACAACAACAACAACAACAACTTCAACAACAACAACAACAACACCAACAACACCACCACCACCACCAACAACAACGACAACACCACCACCACCACCAACAACAACAACAACGACAACCACACCAACAACAACCACAACAACAACAACAACAACAACCGCAACCTAGGGCCAAGACAGGGGCAAACCTGCGCCCAAATACAACAACAACAACAACTACTACTACTACTACAACTACAACAACTACAACAACTACTACAACTACAACCGCGACAACAAAAAACACGGACGACAACGACGACAACAACAACAACACCAACAACAACAACACAACAACAACAACAACGACAACAACAACAACAACCACAACAACAACAACAACGACAACAAAAAACAAGGACGACAACGACAGCAACCACAACAACAACAACCACAACAACAACAACCTCGGGCCAAGACAGCGGCAAACCTGCGCCCAAATAGGGCCAACATCGGTCAACAACAACAACAACAACAACAACAACAACAACAACCCAAATAGGGCCAACATCCGCCAACAGCAACAACAACAAGAACACCAACAACAACCACAACAACAGCAACCACCACAACCTAGGGCCACGACAGGGGCAAACCTGCGCCCAACTACAACAACAACAACCACCACCACAACCTAGGGCCAAGACAGGGGCAAACCTGCGCCTAAATACAACAACAACAACCACAACAACAACAACAACAACCTCGGGCCAAGACAGCGGCAAACCTGCGCCCAAATAGGGCCAACATCGGTCAACAACAACAACAACAACAACAACAACAACAACAACAACAACAACCCAAATAGGGCCAACATCCGCCAACAGCAACAACAACAAGAACACCAACAACAACCACAACAACAGCAACCACCACAACCTAGGGCCACGACAGGGGCAAACCTGCGCCCAACTACAACAACAACAACGACAACAAAAAACAAGGACGACAACGACAACAACAACAACAACAACCACAACCACAACCACAACAACAACAACACCACCACCAACAACAACAACAACAACCACCACCACAACCTAGGGCCAAGACAGGGGCAAACCTGCGCCTAAATACAACAACAACAACAACAACAACAACAACAACAACAACAACAACAACAACAACAACAACCTCGGGCCAAGACAGGGGCAAACCTGTGCCCAAATAGGGCCAACATCAGTCAACAACAACAACTACTACTACTACTACTACTACTACTACTACTACTACAAGAACAACAACAGCAACAACAACAACAACAAAACTACGCCGACCACGACAACCACAACAACAACAACAACAACAACAACACCAACACCAACAACAATAACAACAACAACAACAACAACAACAACAACAACAACAACAACAACAACAACAACAACAACAACAACAACAACAACAACAACAACAACAACAACAAAACTACGACGACCACGACAACCACAACCACAACCACAACCACAACAACAACAACAACAACAACAACAACAACAACAACAACAACAACAACAACAACAACGCCCGCTCGGGCTGACGGGTCTGCTTTTGCCGGCGCCCGGCTGTCAGGCGTAAGCCCCATAAATCCTGTGTTTTACAGGGTATTTTGCTCTTCCCTTTTTTCCCATTTTTCGGAGCCTGTGGCTCAAGGTGGGTCAACATGGGCCAACATAGGCCTTAAGATGGGCGAACATAGCCCCAAGATGAGGCAACATAGCCCCCAAGATGGGCCAACATAGCCCCAAGATGGGCCAACATAGCTCCAAGATGGGCCAACATAGCCCCAAGCTGGGCCAACATAGCCCCAAGATGGGCCGACATTGCCCTCAAGATAGGCCAACATAGCCCCAAGATGGGCCCACATAGCCCTAAGATAGGCCGCCGACCATCAAAATATCATGCGTTTTACAGTGTTTTTTTTGCTGTTCCCATTTTTCGGATCTTTTGGCTCAACATGGGTCAACATGAGGCCAACATAGGCCAACATAGCCACAAGATGGGCCCACATTGCCCGCAAGATAGGCCAACATACGCCAACATAGGCCAACATAGGCCAACATAGCCACACAATGGGCCTACATAGTTGGGCCCCTGGCCGGCTGTCGCGCGTAAGCGCTTAAATTAAGGTTTTCTGCAGTAAACAAATAGTGTTCCGAGTAGAGCCCGGGCAAATGTAGGGGTTGCAGCGATAACACATCTTTTAACGACGTTTCCAGGGTGCCCGATTTCTGCGATCACCACATCTGCAGCTTTTCATCCATTTGAGTCAATATCTGAATATATGTTCCATTCTTTTCCATTCTTTTCTATGCGTTTGTAAATGTCTTGATTTTGGGAGCCTCGACGGGACCAGCAGCACTACCGGCTTTGATCTTTGCGTCTGGAGCGACTTGAGCACAGCGGCTCCTCCCGCTCGCATGTGGACTTCGTTCATGTCAATGCGGAACAAGAACAGGCTGGGAGGATTCTTGGGCTATGATGGCTATGGTAAGGGTGTGGCCATCGACATTGTCATTTTGGAGCTTTGTTGCATCAGTTTTGGGAGCAATTTGGATGTTTTGGATCGCTTCACTCTTCGGTCTGGCACTGAACAAACATGTGCAGTTTTTTGATTTCTGCGGCCTCTTGTGAATACATGATAATACAATATAATACATGTGAATACTGATCTGTGTCAGTGTCAATCCTTTGATCGATTTCTGCCGTAGATGACGGTGGGACATTGCAACTCGAGAGTCTTGGTCGCTTTGATCTGTTCGCTTTCCATCCAGAGCTGCGTCAAGCAAGTGTGTGTGTGTGTACCGCAAACATTTGAAGATCAAATGCATCCATTGCTCAATAATGCTCAATAGATCAAGTGAGGCCCAAGCTTGCTGTCAAGTTGAACCAAACATTTGGTATGGTTTGAATTTTTTTCCATGTTCCTCTCCGATCTCTCCGCAAACGCACTGCCTTTTCCATGAATCGTCAGAGCGCTGTGAATGCTCCGTGCTGACGCGTCCTGAATGCCAAGCCTTGGCGACAACAGAATCTGGTGACACCAGACGTGCTGACATCGTAACGCACTGTCGTACAAAATCGACATCTCATCTACCCGAATCTACCCAGTACTTCCAGTGCAAACAATGTGACAAGGTCCAAACCTGTCCAGGTATAGCTTTTGAGCCCTGTCAGAGGTTAAGAAAGATCTATAGAATCTATGCACAATGCAAGTGCATGGCATGACACTCCTCGAGAGATGAAGCAAACATGGAGCAACTTGTCGCAGTCGCCAGCCTCTTAAGGCCCGCCGTATGAGAGGTCGCTTCGACCTGCAAGGTGAAACATCGTTCAAACATAGTCTGATCATGTATTATATAGGTTATATACATGCCTTAGGCAGAACACATCCATACTGGTCCATATGTCCATAATATGAGCGCTCATATGATTCCGTGTGTATTGTATGCTCAGTTTGCCAGAGCTTTGCCTGGACCCGTCGCGCTCGACAAGGTTGGGAGCGTTGGTGCAGGCCTCAAGATTCAAATTTGAAGCCCCTCAACAAAAGCCCATTTATATGACTCGATCCTTTATATAACGTACTCTCGATCTACAATATCTATATAGATCTATTATACTATTGTATGTATTATCTGCATATACCAGAGTTCTCCTTCCAAAAATATGTGCTTTGGTAGGCTCCCCGCAAGCGAGAAATCACATCTTCGAGTTCCTCTGCATTGTAGCAGCGGAACCTCAACAGCTTGAGCTACACTTGCAACACAAGTTGCTGAGCCGCTTCATGTTTCCGTGTCCTTTATTTGTTTTATATTTTATGTAGATATTAATGTGTGTGTGTGTTTAATTGTGTCTTGGTACTTCGGTTACTTTGCTTATCAACAACATTGCTCTGGGTGCGTAACTTTCCAGTGGATGCTGGCACCACTCCCACTTCGATGTTGACTTTGCTCAATTTTTCTTCCATGACCTAGACCATCGATCACAAGTGAACTTGGAAGTGTTCCCAAGTGAGACTTATTTGAGACAATTATCATATTACAGTATATTACAGTACATATTTAGTTGACATACCTATTGACATATTTAGACATATTGTAGACATTTTGGATTTAGGAGATCAACATAGATCAACTGAGACCTCGCCTGCCGCAGTGTGGTGAGTGCCAAAATCTCGGCCTCCTTCAATGTCATATCCTTGTTGTACTGTTCCTGCTAGCTACAGGAAAATGAAGCTGTGCATGTCCCCGTGTCCCTCCATTTCGATACAAACACGAGAGATTATGAGAGATTAAGTCAGATTGCATTTTGAAACATGTTGAAATATGATTGAATAGTGACTAGTGGAAGATACTGGAATCACAGTTGTCTCCGGATGTCTCCGGTTGTCTCCGATCTCTTCTTTGACAAAGATCCAGATTGGCCACGTGACGATCCCATCGAGTCACATCGAGTCACATCGAGTCACATCGAGTCATCCGAGGCCTGCAACATACTCGTGGCTCCTTCTTGGGCGCTCCCAATGGCGCAGGCCGCCTCTGTTTTTCAGGGGCAGAGATGGCAGAAATGGCATAGTGAATTCATAGTGAATTCATGGAGTTTGGCCCGGTTTGTCCCAGTTTGTCTAGAAGTTTCTTTCAAAAGGAGAAGCTACGCTACCCTTTTTTTCTGTCCAGCGACGTACTTGGTGAAAGTCCCGGAAGGATCCTGGAGCAGGAATAGCAGGAGCAAACATGGCAAAGTCTGGAGATTCCATATAATATGGTATATATATATATATGGATATATATATAATATGGTATATATATAATATGGATATATATATATATGGATATATATATATATGGATATATATATATATATGGATATATATATATATATATGGATAATATATCATATGCAAACATGGCAAATGTGCGAAATGCTGCACAGCGAAAGCGCCATTTCGAACTGAGCACAGAACTGTGTTGAAGAGCACAGGACCATCCCATGGATCAACACCACCAACCAAAAGGGCAACCTAAAAAGAACGCCGATGTTGGTCACATTGGTCACCACAATCAGTGAAGCACTTTTCTGCCATGACTTGAGCTAAGGACCAAAGGATGAATGCCGTTTAAGATTTGATTACATTTTGTGAATTGCAATGGAACATAATGGAACTACGAATGTCCACAGAAAAAAACCATGGACTCCTCTCCCGAGGCATCCACACCGAATGGACGCGACATTGTTTTCTTCTTCTTGTCCGAATCGCTGAAGTCCAAGGCAAGGTCTGCAATAGCCTTGGATTGTCTGTGCGATTTAGAAGCGACATTTGGCAAAGTAGGTTGCAAAGATTGAGTATGAATCAACAATATGAATATATTAAAATCAATATGAAAACAGAAACGAATAAGCTTTAACTTTGGCATACTTTGGCTCATCCTGCTTTTTTCTGATTCTTCCATGGCGTGGCCTCTTCGTTTGAGGCCCTTGCGTTCACGTTGCTTTCAATGGGCATGCGCTCGTTGTAGGTGAACCAATGCGCCTTGCGGATTCCCATCGAAATCATGAATCAGCAATTACTTTTGTTTAACGAGTTTGAACCAAAATTGACTTTTGAAATAGGCCTGGGCTTCGACTCTGGCATGATCCACCAAAGTTCGAGCGTCAGCGGTCAGACCGCTCATGGCACAGCCTCACAAACGGTGTTTTTTCTTTGAGAAAAACTCGTAACATCATCGCCCACAGTGTGTGCATACCCTCGCTCTACGTTCGAACATGTTCAATCATCTTCGAGCAAAAGCTGAAGACTAAATTTCAGTACTCTATGTCTCTTCAGTTGTCTGATTCTCTCTCTCTCTCTCTCTCTGTGATTGCTGGTGGATTCTGAAATTTTAGTAGACCTGCTAGAGACATCTAGAGACCCCTGCCCATGTGGCAGTCAATCTCTAGCAGTTTCTCAATGGAGGTTGGGTCGACCAGCGGAGAAGTCACCCTGGCAAAGGAACGGAATGCACAGTTTGCCCAATCATCCCATAAATCCATATAAAATAATTATAAAATAGTATAAAATCATATAAATCCCACAATGATACTGCGATACCATTCCTTGAGGCCATGGAGGCTGCACAAAACACCCAAGGCAAAACTTTGGGCCTCTTCTCTACCACAAGAATGACCTCAGAGGTTCAAAAGGGTTCAAAAATTATCAAAAATTCACAGTGCACGCAGTTCATGTACTGAATTCCTTTCAAATCTTGCAAACATGATAAAACATGTTGACCCACTGGCCACTGACTCTTTACTCAGGGTGCGAGATTCAAAAAGCTGTCCCTGAGACTGCAACGCCTTCCTTGGTGCAGATTCCAATGGCAGTTGAACCGAGCCTCAGTTGGAATGATTTGCAATCTGCATGTGGCAGTATGTGGCCCCAGTTTCCCTACAAAATGCGACAGCTGTCATCTGCTGTCCATTTCCAAGCTCTGAAAAGTCAACAATAAGCCACATCTCAGTTCTCAGTCCCCTGCTTGATGGCTTCAATCGCATATTCGACCTGGCGCGCGGGTTGAACTTCTGACGGTATTTGACGGAGCTGAAGTGACATAGGGAGGCCTTAACACTTTAGGCTAGACTCTATATAGGGTCAAAAGGGACTTCAAGCGACTCATAAGACTTCACTTTGCAAGTGCAAATAACAACTTTTTTTTCGGAAAACGTACATGTCCGATGAAGATCCTTCAGCTGTTTGGCCAGCAACCAAAAAGTTTGATTCCACTCAAAAATTCATTGCTGCCCTCCTACTATAGTAAGTTCCTGTGCTGACTGCTTTGAAAAGCTCCGCTCTGCTGTGTTGCGCCATCCATAAAAGTTCCACCTGGAATAGTCGACCTTCAGGCGAGAAGGTGTTGACCTCAAAGCAAGTTCTGCACACTTTGACGCGCTTTGACTACCTAGTGCTTTGGGCATTTGGAACTTGCTGCTACCACAGGCAGTGCTTGCTACACTTTGAGCCCTCAGACCCGCATCTGGCTCTGCAATATACTACCCAAGGGGCACACTCCACGATCGTATTCACTTCGCGACAGGAAGCTCATGCCTAAGTCAAGGCGAATTCATGCAGAACCTGCAGAAACTCTCATTCGAGTCCCGCTGCTGTGGGCATTGCATTGCAGCGTGTTTGGTGAAGTCACAAAGTCGTACTCTTTCAGGACCGATGTCCACCGATGCCCACCGAAGCTCGCTTGCGGCGAAGTTGCCCTATATGAATTCCCCACCTTTCGCCGACAAGGCACCTGCCCGAAAGAACTTGAAGTACCGTACAACTCTCTGCATGTCTATTACCCATTATTATCCAGTGTGAAGTGGACAGTGTTAAAATGCATTAAAAAACGTGAAACATGCAAACATGGCAGTGTGGCGGTGGCACTATCTCGGTGGGGCGCCGTTCTATGTCTGAACCCGAATGGCAACCACAAAAAAGTTTTCCCTAAATGCTATACTAATGCCAACAAAGCAAGGATGCGATTCGCTGAACCAGTTAAAAGACTTGCAACTTTGACTTCCCCTTTGATCCAGGAACTAATTTTGTTTCCCAGCATTCAGCGCAACTTGAAACATTGAGTGCCAATAGGTGTAGATACACGCAAGGCACGCAAAATATCAGGGTGTCGAGTAAATGCTTGGCCATGCTTGGCGATGCTGCAGCTTCTTTCCGGATATCAAAATGCATCAAAGCTTCTTTGGCTTTGACTGAGCGGCTGTGTGGCACTTGGCAATGGAAGCTTTGTCCAATCTCACACAGCTCATGGCGTTCATGTACTTGGATCCTTCGCCTGCATTTTCCAGGTGACTCTGTGAAGTTCTCAGGCCTTGGAGTGAAACCCATAAAACATCAGTACCAGATAGTACCACTACATCCGGCTAGGACGCAAATCGAGAGGTCTGCTCTGAGTTGGAAGAACTTGCTGACAAATGCGATGCAGAACTTCACATCATGTCACAAAACACACTGTAAAGCCGGCCTGCAGGCAATGGAAAGCCAATAGAAAACCTGCACAAGTTTAAGATGTTTACCCTCTGGTAAACTAACATAACTATGGAAAATTACCATTCTTAATGGGAAAATCCACTATAAATGGCCATTTTCAATAGCTATGTTAAATTACCAGAGGGTAAGCAGTCTTCGCTATTTGCAAACGTTGCAACTTCACTCAGTATACTCAGTCGCACAGACCTGATGTTTCGCACAGGAGGAGCACGGATGTCAGGTCGTACCTTTGGAGGTTCTTTGAACTTGAAACGATGTGAAACGATGTGAACAAGTACTATCCATGACTATCTATCACTATCTATCACTATCTATCACTATCTATCACTATCTATCACTATCAAGATACTATCAAGATACTATCATTTCTGTAGTTCAATGATGTTCTTTCTGGTTTCGTGATGTTTTGTGGTTTCAAAGAAAACCGGCGCGCACGGAATCAGCGGATCTCCACGATCTGGATCGTTTTCGTCAATGCCTGTTGCATAGTGTGAGGGCCTCGACTCAAGGTTGCAACAGGCATTGTGCGTTTGAATGTCGTTTGAATGTTCACAAAGTGACTTCACAGTGTGACTTTACAGTATCCAAATGTATCCAATGTGTTCTGACTATGCGATCATATGCGATCTGCTCTTCCCGTAATTTAGAGGCAACATTTGGCCACTCCGGCCGGGAGAGTTGTGCCTCTGCGAAGGTGGCATTTATGTACAGTATAACTGTATATTATATATATATATATATTATAATATATATATACGTACGTATATAACCATTTGAATATAACGTGATGTACATAGTACACATGTATATATATATATATATATGATTATATATGTATACACATGTGTACATGCATATGGTTCTGCGATGTTCTGCTGCAATGTTCTGCATATCATGCATATTCTGTGATCGCTTTGCATTCAGAAAGCCACGTTCAGAAGCCAAGAATGTCAGGAGTCTTGGCTAAGCAACTGTTGCACATGGGTGACCCTCATGGGTGTCGCACTTTCTGAAGTCCGGATTCTCGGAAAACAGGTCGTCTAGGGTTTTAGGTCTCGGAGCAAAGTGGCTTCAGAGACAAGAGAACCGTTCGATTGAGATCAACCAACAGCAGCTGTTTCAACTACCACTCAAACTCACAGAACCTGTTTGTCGTTGCAGGGGCACAAATCAAATCAAATCACAAATTTCCGCATGGCTCACACATCAACACAGAATTGAGAAGGCAATGAACTTGTGCTCGCTGAAACTGAAAGATCAATTGCCAGGTGCCGAGCCACTGCGCTGCTTCCAAGTTTGATTCTGAAAATGTTTCTGGCTTTTTTGGGCTGTGGAAATCTTTCATTGTAAAATATTGTAAATCTGTTTTCTTACGATTCCTGATTCTTTGCTTTGCTTTCCGCTCTAAGGTTGCAACTTTAGGGCTCTCCTTGCTCTCAGTCCGCTGAGCTTCCGGCTTTGGAGGCCGCAAGCCCTTCAAAGGTGATGTGCCTGTGGAGTGAAGAGTTCATCGTCAAAAGCAAAACACTAACATCGTTTCTCCCACATCTTCCAACATTTCAAGAGTCTAGAGTCTAGAGATGTCTAGAGAGTCTAAGTTTCAAACAATTCTGATTCATTTCTGATTGTGTGTTTGTCACATATTGAGGAGCACTTGACTGTGCCATTCCCACCTTCATGTTCGTCCAGCTGCGCACTGAAGACCCGCACTACCCCACGTTGGTTTGGCAGCAGACGAGGAAGCAACTGAGCGAATGAGAAAAGGTTGACAAATCAGGACAAACCATGACAAATCAGGACAAACCATGACAAATCAGCAAAGACATTAATCACAATTCCAAAACCTAACAAAACATGGCGTGTTGTAACACTATCAAGCAAACAAGTTTTGAAGTTGCCTCGAAGCACTGAGTCACTGGGCATTTCAGAAAGAATATTATATAATATATTATATTGATTCCGTCTTGGCACCTCCTCTTCAAGCACTGGCCTGGTTACGTACCTTTCAGAGAATTTCTTTGCTTCTTGGTCGTGGAGTCGTGGAGTCGTGGAGTCGTGGAGTCTGAACGCAAAACACTTCCGGACGACGCCGGAGTTGTGCACTGTCGCAGAAACGCAAGAGAAGCGAGTCGTGGAGCATCCTCTCGTGGTACTCCAGCCCCCTGTCTTCAGGCACTTGGCATCAAAGTGGATGGTCAAGTGCCATGCAGTCATCTATCTTTGCACATCTTGGCACATCTTGGCACACACTTTGCACCTCTTCCTTCACCTCTACACTGGACTCTACATTGCATTGTCTACTTCCAATCTGTTTTGAATGCCTCTGTGATACATCCTACGCAATCGTATGCACATCTTCATGTCGTGACATGTCGAAGCACGTTGAAGCACCTCTTCGTTGGGGCTGTCCAGAAGTTCTTCATAAGTTGTTACACCTCCGCTGACAGCTCGTAGATAGCTCGTGCTCGTGTTTCCTCATGTTTCTGTAATTTTCTGTCACCTCTTGATCCTGTTGGAAAGCCTCCTGACGTCCATGTGTAAATTAGGCTTGTGGGAGTTGAACGATTTGAACATGTGGGAATCACATTTGCTCAATGACTCCTTCAAGTCTTGCCAGTCTTGCCTTCATCAGCCAAGCTAAGTCGGGCAGCAGGCACTGCCTCCTTGGAAAGAAACAGCTATCAGAAGCATGGGAAATATGAGACTAGCTCATAGAATCTCATAGGCACATATGGCACCATATATAGACACAACAACAGAAACAGGATGCAACCATAGGATCGGAGTCCACTAGCTGTGCTTCGGTGAATCTTTGTCTTGTGTGCCTCTGCGCATGGTGGTGTTTCTGCTAGAGCCCGCAGGGTTTCGCACCTGAAGCAGCAATAGATGGTACAGGCCTGCAACCCCCCCCTCCCCCCCCGCGATGGTGATGGTTCCTAGGGTTGGGTGTACTATCTCCCTGGAATCCAACTATCATGCAAGGTATCTCTGCTTCCCCGCCCCCCCTGTGGGGTGGGTTGGGTGTAGTTTGTATGTACCAACGTAGGTTGGTAGGTATAGGCATGTATGTATGTGTGTATGTGTATATGTATTTATGTATGTATGTATGTACGTACGTACGTACGTACGTACGTATGTATGTATGTATGTATGTATGCTTCCCCGCCCCCCCTGTGGGGTGGGGTGGATGTAGTATGTATGCAACTACGTAGGTTGGTAGGTATAGGCATGTATGTATGTGTGTATGTATGTATTTATGAAATTCTGTATGTATGTATGTATGTACGTACGTACATACGTAGGTAGGTAGGTAGGTAGGCATGTATCTATGTGTGTATGTATGTATGCAGGGGGGGGATACCCGGGGGGGGATACCAGGGGGGGGATACCATTGGGGGGTTGCCGGCCGCCGGCCGGGACCATAGATGGCAATGGGCTTTGCGGTATATGGAGATAATTGGAGATATTTTTGGAGATGGTATTAGAGATGGTTTGGCCAGGCTCCCAGCCACAAAAGCTGCTCGAGAGATATGGCAGCCAACGACTTGCTAATCTCATCCTCGCTTTGGACATCTTTTTGACTTTCGATATCTTTCAAGGTTTGAATCACACTTCGAGTCTGTCACGGTAACTCTAGCCGCTCCAGCCCTCCTCATCACGTTGCCATGCGTTGATGACCAAGATTTCATCTTCCTCCTGGGACATGGAAGGACCATGAAGGATCTACGAGCACCTTGATGCAGGTTCATGATGCTTCATGATGCTTCATGATGCTTCATGGGCTTTGATGCTGCATATCTTTGATCAACTTTGAATCAGTTTGAATCTTTTTGCCAATATCCACTGGGGGGTACCACTGAGCACAACCCTGATGCCAGAACGTCCTTTTTATAAAGTCTTTTCCCGCAGCCGAAAACATCATTTCCAGCCTCACTCGCCTTATGCCAGAAGAGACAGTGATGTCACCGGCGTTGAGACGCCGCTGAGGTGCATAAAAAAGACCCACCGGAAGCGGCCGCCGACAGCTCCAGATCGGCCGAGGTCACGGGTCGGCTGGGTCGGCCGCCCAGCTGCCAGCTCACTCGCAAAAGGGTGCAGATGGTGCAGTTTTTTTTGGACTCGAAACCGTTCTAAAGCTAGAAACGCACCGCAGCCTCTTGCAATGCTTGCAAGCCGTGTTAGGAAGGTAATTTCGACAGCTGCTCATGATTATCATGATTCAGAAAACAACAAGAGATGCAAACATGATCAAACATGTGTCGAAAGTTCTGCCAACACAGTTCTGTTCACAGTTCTGCCAACATAGACTGGAATAGACTGGCTGTGTTTCAAACTCCTCCTTGGACCAGTGGCAGCTGCTCCTTCCTCCAAGGCTGAACATGCCAAAGGCATCCAAAGGTCCCAAAGGCCATGAAGCACGAGGTCAAAATGTGTTCCAAATGCCAGACTCGCCTAGCTGCCTAGACATGAAACTTCAGATTAGCATAGATTAGTTCAGTCAATGGGCGCCAGATGGCGCCAGCTACATGGGATAATCTGTGCCTAAAGCCTTGCGGGGCAAATCAAGCTGTACAAACTGTAGTGCAGGACGAAATGATTCGATCAAGCTCATCGACCAGTATGGATCTGTGATCTGTGCTTGACCACAGGTGACCACACCAGCCACAGCTTTCTTCCAGCTTGGCAAGCAATTGTTGCACAGTTTGACATCGTTCAACCATCCAGTGCTGGTGAATTACTGTTGCTGTGTCCAAGCCCCATTTTGCAAGAACAAACTCAACATGATTATCATGATACAGTGTCTGCCAAATGCCCACATCACTTGGATCTCTTAGACTAGTGATCAGTGCCGATCTGATTGCGCCACATTCGCCGTCTTGAAAATAGGCTATTGAGGCAGCCGGAGTTGTGAGAGTTGGTTTTAGTATCGAATCAGAATCCGAGTTGGCCGAGTTGGGTTGCAAAGATTTGCAAGGGGTAAAGCTGGATAAGAAAGCTTGCAAACAAGCTGAATTCTCAAGGCCTCAGCCTCGGCTTTGAATCAAAAAGGTGAATCAAAAAGGTCTCAAGCAAGTGAGAATCCAAAGCGACGCCACCTCACCAGGCAGCATCGAAATTGACATATTATCATTATTATCATAGTCAAAGCAGGGATATGTATCGAATTCTATCGAGTGAGAGAGGAAGACCTTACAATTCGCTTCGCCAAGTTTTCCGGTGCGCCATGGTCCGCCACACTTCCACATCTGTCAGTCGATGTCAGTGGTAGTGCATATCATCTCCATGCATCTCCCGCTTTGGCCTGAGCTTTTTCGACTTTGTCACAGACTTTGTCCCTGTTCTTCAGGATGCCAAATGATGTCGCTCTGGACCTGAAGCCGGCGTTGCTGTGGGACTCATGGGAGCACTCAGATCACTTAGACCACTTAGACTCGACGACTGACAAACTGCATCAGCCTACAAAGGCAAGACATGGCAAGACCATGCGAGACCTTGAGCAACTTTCAAAGAAGCCAGAGCTTAGTTGGAGGATGTTAGAATATGTTGAGGGATCTGACTTTGAAGAAAGCCTTCGAAACTCCAGCTAAGTGTCTGAATTCAGGATGCATTTGCTGTATTGGGTGCCTTGGATTTGCAGAAAAAGGCCTTCTAACAGAGCACCGAGAACACATAACACGGCATCTATCTCAATACTCTTGTCTTATATTAATGCTGATTGGAGACATACCGGAGGCAAGTATAGCCCGCAAGATTGTCGGTCGTTCCAATCCCCTCTGGACGAGTCCAAATCTCACCTGAAGGGTGATCTATGCACCTTTGAATCCTTTGAATCCTTTGAATCCTTTGATCACCTTTGACCACCTTTGCACTTGTCCAGGTATCCTGGTCTAAGCTCGCAACAACGACCACTTTCATGGTACTCTATCCTGGGAGTCGACTGAGAATTATCCAACAAGTACTTGATCACAAAGCCAACAAGCAACGACCAGTGTCAA